GGGAGGGAGGGAGGGCTAGAGAGGGTGGCTGGCTGATTGTCAGAGTTCGACGGACGATGCCACCTCACGCGGGGGATCAATCCCCATGCCAGCCTAACCTCTCAGCGAGCGAGATCTTCTCGTTTAGGAAGGATCGACGATACGTAGTAGGACGCGGCGGTGGAAGGGCGCGGTGATGCGTCGCGGCGCGCCGAGGAAGCGTATCTGAGATGCAGTCGCTCCTCCTACTCGTCGTGCTCCTTGTCGGCGAACGTCACGGCAACGGGAGGAATCGTACGGTCGTTGCGGCGTCGTACGGCGTCGTCGTTCCGGACGATCCCATAGCAATTTCGACCCGTCTCTCACAGCCGGCGGCAGCCGCCGGGATGCCGGGTGGCGCCGGAACAGTCGACGACAGAAATCGCGCGGCTCACGCTCTGCCGACGCGACGCAGCACGGCATTACCGTGGCGGCGATGACGGTTGTGACGGTCGTTGTTGCGCACGGTTGTGCCGTTGCTGTCGCTGCTACTCCTGATGCTGTCGCTGCCGGTAGGGCTGCCGCTGGGACCGTTGCGTTTCACGATCGTCGGCTCCTCCATTACGCGCCGCGCGGAGCGCCGCGGGATTTACCTTCGCGAGCGAATCGCGTTCGAGACAGACTCTCCCTGTGCTCCGCGGAGTTTCACGGCTACTCCCGGTTTCTCGGCGGCAACTTCACTCGACTCCGCGCGCGACCCACACGACAGCTCCGCTCTGCTCCGCTCGTAGCGCGGTGGCAGGCTCTCTCCCCGTCCGCCGGACAGGCAACGGCGAGGCACCGAGATTCCCTAGGAGCCGCACACGCGCGGGTCCTCCCCCCCCCCCCCCCACTCTATACGTGAGGTCCCGAATTTCGCGCGCGCCGCGTGTTTCACGACGTGATGCACCCACGCACCGTGTCAACAGCACGCGCTCCCGCCTGCCGATCGGTTCTGACCAGTTCTGACGCCCGTCCGCGCACCCCCACACACTCTCTCTCTCTCTCTCTCTTTGTCACTGTCGCCACGACATCGGGAACTCGGGGCTATTCGAGCGGTCCGAATCCCTCTTTCTTCCCTCGATATCGCCCTGCTCCTCCGCACTGCTCCGCCGGATGTGCCGGATTGTCGCGGCGACGCGCGCACACGCTCGCGCGAGTCGCCCTCGCGTTTATTCTTTTGTCACGGAGCCGTCCGCGCCGCGTGATCTCGCATTACGCACGCACGAACGGTACCCTCGTCCCCTTACTCCCGATCAAACCTCTCGCCACCTCTCGCGAATAACAGGCCAGCGGCGCACCTGCCTCTCGCGCTCGAGACTTGAGTGAAATGAGTCGCTACGGACACCGGCAGGCCGGCCAACCGCTACTTTACACTGACTTGCTCAGATTCAGTGTTGATTCGCGTTGATTACACTTTTTGCATTCAGCATTTTCGCTCTTTCTCTTTTTCAACGTCCAAATATACCTTCATGGGAGAAGAAGATTTCCACCATGTATATATAAATCTCATTTTTTAAGTTCAAAAATTTTTAGGGATTTCAAGCAACGCGAACAGACTTTATGCAAATTCGAGCCTTTGTGGCTGCGTTCGCTTTGGTGCTTCAATCATCTTTATATTGCTTTTATCCCTGTTTAGCAAATATTAAACAAGGACAAAATGATGCTTGCCTACAAGGGCTATAGGAGCCAAATAAATGTAGTTTGTAAATAATAATTATGTATTCTCTTCCTCGAACTGTCTAAATCAACGTAATAGATAAAAAAAAAATCACAAAAAAATATGGAAACGAAAAAAGACGGAGTTTCCGGATAATACAAAAGACTTCTTTCTAGCGGAACTTCAACTTTTCTCTTCTTCTCTTCAACAACGTGGAGAGAAAAGGAAGCAAGCTGCTCCGTGCAAAAACAAAAGAACAGACCTGACGTTGAATATCAGTTTAGGTTGGCAGTGCGTGAGCGGCGCGACACACAGCGCGCGATATAAAAATTTCACTTATTATGAAAACATCGGCTGGAAAGAGTCCAGTTTTCGCTATTTCCGTCGCTGGCGGTTCATGATTCACGCGACTGCGCGTGCAAACGAAAGAAGTGTAAATCCGCCGGAGATCAATATGACCGATATCGTCAGACGCACGTGAACGTGCATGAACGTCGCGTCTGGTTTCGTGCGAATGACGTAACAGCAAGCGGCATTAACACAAAAATGGCCGGTGCCGTGTGGGCCGAGGACGAGATCGGGCGAAAGTGGGACCGCTGCTTCACAGACGCCATCCTCAAGTTCGGTAATTATCGTGATCGAGCCCATTCAAGGTGACGGACGTTACCTTTTGTGACGTTATTGACAGATTTATTTTCTCAGGTGGTGGCGTGATCCTCGGCGGAGTGTTTTCTCTATTTTTCTTCAAAAGTAAGATGCATCACTCCTGTGACATAACTATATTTAATGTAATTGTAGAGTCAATGGCAAGATACATCCAGGGACTCAGATACACTTAGATTTAATTCTGTTAACATTAATATTGCATGCGTTTTAAGTCCTAGTCTATAATGTGCTTCTCTTGTTTCTTGCTTTTTATCTTATTATTTCTTCGTTTTCTGTCATTTAAGAGAAAAGTTGACCAACTTCTTTAAGACAAAAAACATTATTGTTAATAAAATGGTTACGAGGAGAGAAAAAGGCTAGAGGTAAAAAGTAAGAAACAGGATACAGTATGCTGTAGATTAGCCTTTAATCACATGTGTGTTTCATTGTAGAAACATTAATCATGTGTGACATCATTTAACTTGGAAGTTACATAGTCGTATATCTATATTTAAGTTTCAAGAATTAATCAATGTTCACCATTTCTGTATTCTTTTCTTCGTAAGCACAGAGTATTAGGTTAAAGAGTTGATTAATCTCTCTGATTTTAAATGAAAGTATATAGTAAGAAAGTATATTTCTTTCACTTGTATTGTTTATGGCTTTTATAGAATATTTTCATTTTTTATCAAGAGAATAACTTTATAAATGGGATTAATACTACTTTAATATACTGTTAATCGTAATGAGTGATAAATAATAGTGATGTACTTGAGCATAAGTTAATAGCTGTGCGTTCAGTAAAACAAAAATAACTTTGCATCTCTGTTATAAAACTTTTTAATATAATTAGATTTGCCCTTAATTCTTCATTGGATCTAAATATATAACCAATTATATTTAAGTATCTTACAATGTTTCAAGTTATTTTTTCTTCTGAATGCAGTCAACATTTATATTTAAAAACAGTTTATAAAAGAAATTATATACTGCCTGCTATCTAATTTCTTTTTTAATTGTTTTATAAAACGTGTATATGGATACTGAATTCTCTTCATAGGAAGAAAGTGGCCCATTATAACCGGAGGTAGCTTTGGATTAGGTATGGCATATTCCAATTGTGAGGAAGACATCAATGCATCAATACGTCAACAGAAATCCAGAATTTGTAAATCTGAAGAAAAGAAATAATTAGAACAAATTGTAAAAACAAAATTAAAGTTATTACTAAGATAAGAAATATAATAAACTAAATAACTGCAATGATCTATTGTTTTTGTATATTTGATCTGTACCTTCTAATCTTAGAAAAGTAATACACAATAAATCGCTTTGTAAAAGAAATATATTTCTTGACTGTTTATTAACATTATAGTAATATAATAATTATAGAAAAATACAAGTATGAAGTATCAACAAATATTAATATACGTAAATATGTAATAGCATATTAAGAAATGTAAAACATTTTTAGCTTTTTTTCTCATCATTACTTATAATTATTTAAACGCATATTTATACTCATAAATTCTTTTCATTGTATAATAGTCATATATATATATACAATAGTAATGCTGGAAATCATATATTCAAAAGTGATGTACAAACTAGAATGATCAGTGAAATGTTCCGTAATATAGATAGAATCTATTATAATTGACTTGAATTAAGATTCTGTTGTCATTTCTTAAATGTAATACAATAGTACATGTATCTCCATTGTTACAGATTATCTGTTTAATTAATACTTATCATACTTCAGAATTTCCAAAATTTGACAAAAATTTCGAGTTTAAAATTATATTTTATATAAAATTAAAAAATTTAAGAATAATAATCAACTACTTCATGTGACAAGATATTCAAATAAACAAATATGTATTTTAATTTACAATTATATTTTTTAATAAACTCTGCTAATTTGATTACACTAAATATTGCAAAGAGAACGTAAAATTAAACATCAATTTTGGAGATTCTGAGTTTTTTTTAATGTATAGTACACATAAACATTCTCTGTCTTTATTTGGCATCTTATTATTAGTGCATATACTCAATATTAAATATACCGTGGGCAAAAAAGAAAAAAAATATTTGCAGAGCGGCATTATATAATTTATATCTTGAGATTAAACACCATGCCCAAAAATTGTTCGTAGTGAATTGTTATAACACCATCCAGATCCGTATCCAATCGTCTAAAAGCGCTGGTAAGAGTCTGAAAACATAATTATTACATTTTTTTTTATCACAGAGTTTGAGTATTCACAATTATCAAACAAATCGTTTTAAATAAAATAAATAATTACAATTAAATTTGTAGAGACTCAAAAATATTATCTTAATATTATTTAATTTTTTAATTAATTAATTTTTTAATAAGAATAATTCATTTAAATATAATTTAATAATTAATGAATATAACCAGTTGAGTTTAAATTAAAGTTTCTACGCATAAAAGTCAACAGGTATTTTTAAACAAGGTCACGAGCCACACCTAATGAAATTATTTAGATTGCTTTACAACTATACTTACATATAGAACAATACAGCACTGTATAAAATCATCAAAGTATATTGTACCATTTCCCGCTCGATCGTACTTTCGTATCAGCATGTCAATTATTTGATCGCTTAGTCGGTATCCAAAGTTTGTAAGAGCTGTCTTCAATTCATTGCGATCAATGTTACCACTATTGTCTCGATCAAACGATCGGAAACAATTCTCCCAATCAGTCACGTACTTCCACAGTGCTCCGAATTCTTCAAAACTTACAGTACCTGTCTGCTTTTTATCAAACATACCTGTAGCAGGATCGGATTTATCAAACATACCTGTGTCAACAAAAGCAAGAAACAAAATAATAATAACATCAAAAGACCATGCAAATCAATATCGTGCATACATAATTTTATAATAATCATACATTAGAAGAACTAAAAGAGTATATGCTATGATTTAAAAAAAATTAATAGCATAATATTCACATAAAGAAAGATTTTGCTCAAGTATTTAAAAATTTAGCTAAGTGTAGATACAAGCACCTGAAAATAATTTTGCTAAATTATGAAAAATATTATGTAGGAATCTCAAGCATGTGATGAGTAAAATACTATAAAGTTTTAACATTCTAGCAATTAGTTTGAGCACTCTATATAATTACTTTGATGATCTAGCAAAATTATTTTTGGTATATCTATTTTTGCTATATTTAGCTAAACTATATAGGTTAACTAAACTTTAGCTACTTTTTCAATACTTCAGCAAAATCGTTTTTTCTATGAATTAGATTAGTTCTTTTCTAGCATCAAGCGATAGATATTCAGCCTTTTCCATTTAAAGTATCTACAGAAAAGATAAGAAAAATTTAAATATAGAAGAAATTATAGATACAATATATATATATATATATATATATATATATTATAAATTCACATGGTCATTTTGAGAATAATATAAACATATCATACCAATCATTAGACGTACAGTTTCGGGGTTGAACGGCGTCCATGTGCCGTTTGACAAAGCTTGTTGTAACTCGTCTGCACTGATTGCACCAGATCTGTCCTTATCCACCCTAATAAAGTCAAAATCTTTAATTATGTAGTAAATATTACCAATAACATTACCAAATTTATTCTCTTCAATCTTAAATTTTGTTAATGCATGATTATACCCAGAAATTGAAAACAGAATTTTTTTTGTGGATGGAAAATGTGTCTATTATAAATAAACAAAACAAATGTAAATTTTTACAGATAAAACTAATACTTTAACTACTTATATACTTAAATTACTACTTCACTTTAATTAACTTGAGACGATTCTTGTTAGGCGAGATAGAGAGCGCCTAAGAGTATTTTTCGAAATAAAAGGTTGTATCTATTATTTGATAATTACAAAATTATATATAGGACGTAGCAAAGAAACATTGTAGAACCGAATAACGTATTTACCTCTGAAATACATTCCAAAGAAATTGCTGACTTGGCATTGGCGATATAAAAGACATTTTCGTAAATAATTGACAATGTCACGACGAAATAAGACAGTGGTACAATAACTTGCACGATATTGCGTTTGTTAATAACGCAGATAAACCTGATAAACACACCGACAACTCGAGGAAAACGTGATGTTCGCGACACGTCACTTTCTGCGTCACTTTATATACGGCTGGACTTAGGAACTGGACTAACCGATGTGGACCAATCAACCAATGTCGGTCTGGACTTTATATAGGTACAATACATTGCACTTTTTACACTTTAGGCTGCGTTCAAAATGTCGATGGTTCAAAATCATCATCTGAGTACACCACAGACTTCTATATATATATATAGAAGTCTGTGGAGTGCACCCAGGTGTCGTGTTATCCTTGTTTATCATTCATGAACAACAAGGATAAAACGATATCTGGGTGCAGCCGGACGACGATTCTGAACGCAATGAAATGGACGAGCCGCGGGTGAACAATGGCTGCGTTCAGCGAAGAAAGCAGCTTTGCAAGAGCTGTTGTAAGAGCCTGAAACTACACAACACAACATCCCTTCTAATTAGCAAATAGGTTATGCAGCACTGTGCAGCACAACACGTTGCGCTTACTAAGCGTACTTTCAGTCCGCTGGAAAAAATGGCAACCGCTTAGTTAACATGTTGGAAAAGCGCAAATCGCTAAGTGGCGGTCAGCAGAAAATCTTACAACAGTTGCAAAGCTGCTTTCTTCGCTGAACGCAGCCATGATTCGAAAATCAACCGAAAGTTAGTTGTCCCCCCCCACCCCACCGCTCCTCGTGCAGTCAAAATGTCTCATAACAGTTGAATGGTTTAAGTATCATACCAGTCAGGATTTGGAAGTTTTTAAAATAATTTTATTTAAAACATGTATTTCAAATATATATATGGAGGGGCGAGTGGAGGAGGTCCGGTGGGTCGAAGATGGTAAAGTAGTGAGTGGAAGGTGAGAGAGGATGTCAAAAAGTTGTAATAACGAAAAAAGTGAAAATACGGCGAAAGAGAGGAGCGGCGGGGGTGGGTGGTGGTGTCAACGGATACGCAGAAGCGACTCACGTCTCGAGATCGACGTGATTTCCTCGGTCAACGGATTGTTCTCGCGGAAATCCGATCGTTATGAGATTTGTTAAAATGGTCCACCTACGATTGTTCGCAGGTCAACCAACTTGGCCATTAACAGCAGCCCGAGAATTTTAAGTCCTACTCGGCAGAATGCTCTCCAAGACAGTAAATTGTTCTCATAAAAATGTGACTCACAATATCGCATTGTAATATTCAATTAAAACACTCGTAGAAAGACTGACTTATTACGGAAGCAGATTACAAAAGGACGTATCATTCGATTGATATTGATATACAATTAAAATGGACAACCTGCTGAAAGAGCTAGAGGCTCTAAAAATTAGGGGTGATTTCTTCGAGGATAATTCCTCGTGGACACCATGCGTGGATTTGATTCAGAGGAGTTTTGTACCGCAAAGAACAATCGGGACAGAGCGTCCATGTGAGGAGAAAGACTTCAGAGAGTATAGGCTTGTTGTAGAAAGAAACTTGCGTAATGTCAGGTCTATGCTGCAACATATTTCTAGCAGTTCCAGGGAGAAGCACTTCCAGCTGAGCAATGCCACTGGGATAGTTAGAGCATTTGGTATGAATCTACTGTTGCTCATTGGAGAACATAACAAAAAGAATATTTGGAACACAGTCGAGTGTGTTTCTATTTCCAAAGAATTACTCACTACTTTCTGTGACCTGTACGCCTGCCAAAGCATCTCACAATTTTTGTCAGAGAATGAGAATTTGCGCAACTTGTTGCTAATGTTAAGACCTAAATTATTAAAAGATACCTGGAAGACTTACCCATCAGCTGTAGCATGTTACAGATGGTTTTTACAAGAGCCAGAAGTAAGTTTGATTTTATTTAAGTCTTGTACAGTACAGTTTATTACCTGAACAAATTCTAGAATTTTGAGATCTCTTGAAAATCTATCTAGATATGGGAAAATTTTTGAAATTGTACTTTTCAATTTAAATTTTAATCGTGTCGTTTTTTGAAAATATTGTTTCTTTAATTGGTTCTTCTTGATGCAAAAAAATGCAAAATATTGACAGTCAGTTAATAATACATCAAGTTGATGACATACATCAAGTTTTATGAAAAAATAACAATAAAAAATAAAATGTGGAATAGTATAGAAATAACTCTATACTGTGATGTTTTTTTTCTTATTTTATTGTAGAAAATGTTACAGTCTCATAGAATTCCTGCTTTTTACGAATATTCAATATATAGTTTATTTTGGATTAGTAATAGTAAGTCTAATTTATTTCAAAGTAGCATTAAAAAGTTTTCTAATCTTATTTGGAATTTTGAACAAACATATCTTGAACAGAGGAAATTCTTAGGAAATTTTATTGCATGTTTTAACACTAAGTACTTTATTATACATATATATATATTTTGACTATATATTTTTTTTCTTCAGAAACCAATTTTATTTAATTATATCGGAGATGTCTTGCCTACTGCATTAATTATTCTTGATGACTATTTTCCTGATAATGTATTAATAGGCCTGGAATGTATTTATCAGATTATTCAGCATTCTTATATGGTATATATGTGTATACATTATTATATAGAATTTATTCTCACACACATATAGTATATCTTATTATGTATTCACTTGACAAATATTTTAGAAAAAAGGACTAATAGATTCTGGTTATGCTAAATTGATTTATCATGCTTTGCAACTTTTAACTCATCAAAAGGAAGCAAGATACATTATTCCTTTGTATTCCTGCATGGCCAGTCTTTTAGCTACCATGGAACATTGGGATAATACCATAAATCTATTTGAGGTATGCTCACAAGATTATCACAGCAATCACAAGATGATCCAGTGCCTTGAAATTATAATTTTCACTTTTGCAGTGGACAACACGTGATGAAGTTCTCTCAACTTTGATAGAGAACATGGAATTTGAGCAGAACATTGAATTGCGGCATGTATATATGTTGAGTTTACCTCAACTCATTACTCATATAGGCTGTGCCAAATGGTGCGGAGCGCTCGTTCGCATACTTACTGAGTACTGTGAACATCACACAGATTTACGGACGTTAAAGGCAACATTAGAGGTATAATTTTTAAGTATAATACGCCGTACACCGTATAAAATAAAACAGATATTAATCTCGGTTTGTGTATTTTCTTTGATGACTTAGATGGCAAAGACATTTCTCTTAATGTTTCGTCTACGAGTAGCTGCACATTGCGCCCCACTTTATACTGTATTCTTGAAGTTGCATTTCGATCTGACGGAGACACCGGTGTTCGATCGAGCGATCATGCAGAATTTGGAAGATTGCATTTGCATGTTGTATCAGCTATCATCTAATGTAGGCTATACAGTAATTAATGACGATCGAATGCGTTCGGTGCTCAACAGTAGTTTACCGGTCGTATGCCAGGGTGGTGATATTAAATATTTCGAATAATTTACGAAATACCTGCGACAGTAATTGTATATATAATATATTCTATATAATGTGTGTGAAAAAATGCGCTCATCAAAATATTATATTCTCGTGTAAACTTCTGTAGTGCAGAGATAAAAGTGAACCGTGTTAGGTACTTAGATATTTTATTTGTGATTTAAAAACACATTAATATACAATCATTTGTAAAGCAAACATTTTTTGTTAGAATACATTTATTTTAATTATTCATTCTTTAAGATATATATAATATATACGATTCCAAAAAAATCATATCTACGATATTATTATGCAAGCAACTTTTTGATTGATGGATTGATTATATAATTTGTGATTAATAATAAACTAAGTTGTTGAATAATAGCTGTGAATGTGTCTAAAGAAATTATATGTAGAATTGCAATGTTTATATAATTTGGAAAACTCGATAGATTTTCTTTTAAGTTTAAAGAATTGAAAACAAAAGGTTCATCTATTTTGCAAATTTGCCCAATTGACCCGCGATTGTGAATATGATCGACAAAATAATATTTAAAAAATGTACGTGAGAAGTAATTTTGAAGAACAGAAAAACTAGATTTTTCTTCTGTTTCTGTGAAATGTTACTTTTTTATTATTACAATATATATAATATTTATCTGGATCTATTATTTTATGTGTCTATATTCTATAATTTCATCCTATATGGTTTTAGATAAATCAAATGTGTGTTTTTCAAAAGCTAATTATATATTTTAGATTAATCAAACTTATTTTTCAGAATGGTTATAAATATCTATTATACTAACCATGTTAGATCTATTTTTAGTCGTAGTTGTGTACTATGTATGTCTCCATTAATTACATTTGTTGTTTTTAAACATTCAATCATTTCTGTTTTTTTAGCATAAACAAGATTTGCCCAAGAAATATATCTTCTTGACTTTGCGTTATCTGACTTGTTGGGATTATTGTGACAGATCTGTAAATTCGCTTATTTATAATGTAACTATTATCATATCGCTTCTGTTATTTTTTACTTATATATAGACTCTACTTATTTTATTGACAAGAATACCATATTTTATACAATCTGACATTCGAATTTTCATCTTATTGACTCAAAGTATGAAAAACACGAACGATACACTGGTAAATTTTGTAGGAAAACGAATTTTGTATTAATAATATATTTGTTTTAAATTGTAACTTTTTAATTGTAACATTGAGAATGAGAGACCCGATCGGAGTCGAAACGTTTGTTGAATTATCACTACTTTTTTTTAATATTCAATTTTTCAATCTCAATCATCAATGTATATTCTGATTCCGACCTTAGCCAAAGTTCTAATATTTGTTTGCAATAGTAATTTGTAATTGTAGTTTTATTTTGATTGTAATATCGAGAATATTAGGAATTTGATTTATTATTTTTGAACGATTGATCTTAAATTGCATAATATTTGGTATTGAGGAGAAAATATTATATTAAATTGTGTTAGATCAAATCATATCTTTACCTCTCTTTATAACAATTCATATCTTTGTTTTCAAGTTGTTATTAGGAGATTACGTAAACCGACGAGATTTATAAATTTCCGTTCACTTCATAAAGCGTTCATTTAGTATCTACTGTTTGATCTGTTCAAATCATGTCGCCATTCTTAATCGTAATACTTACGCTTCTTGTGGCATATAAACTATATAAATTTGCTTATGATAAACCACCTAATACACCTCCAGGTAAAATAAAATTAAAATAAAAAATAGTATAAAAAATTAGTATCAAATATAAACTGTTTTCTTTAATTTTTGCTTCTTTTAATCTTTGTTATGGAATATCAAATTATATTACAGTTTTATTATTAGTTATTAAATATTTTCTCTAACTTTTCGTTTTTTCTTTTTTTTTTTTACAAAGAAACATAGGAAAGTGGTCCCCTCCGATTTTAATGAGTTTTTAATAATAAATATGTATTTTTGTTGTACATACCCATAACACTTTTATTAAGTGAAATATCCATAATCAGTTAGTTTTTTTTTTTTAAGTGAACATTGTCGAAACTGTAAGATAAAAACTTTTTTTAAATAAAAGTAGAACAATTTTAACAATTTACCAGTTTTATAAAAATGATAAAAAAATTGTGTTATAAAATATTCTCAAAACCATTCGACTCTAAAAAATTTTTTTCGTCTCATAATTTTGACGATATTTGTTTAGAAAACAAGTAACTGATTTTCTTTAAAGAGATGTATTATTTTCTGAGTGTTTTTGCGTATGATATATATAAAAAAATATGTGTCCCTTTTATTTTATAACATTAAAAGCTCATACAAATCGGAAGGAAACATTTTCTTTTTGATTTCTTGTCAAAAGACACATGATGACCCTGCCTGCATATGTATATCCGCAAATACAATTGACTCATAGTCTCTAACTTAAAAAAGTTTTTATTATATTTCATATATTATATAATTATATTTTTTTTCTTAAATTTAACAAATATCTTTGTTACGTCTGTTCGTAAGTTGTTTCTAATCTTAATGTTTGAATTTGTATTTGAGATAGGCATTATCAGAATTCCAATAGGAGGATCTTACTGGATGTTGTTATGGGGAAACTACAAATTTCCGCACTTAACTGTCGATTATTATGTGAAAAAATTGAAGTCAAAGATTATCAGTTGTTATATGGGTGATAATTTTACAATAATAGTGAATGATTACAAAAGCATTAAAGAAGTACTCTCAAGAGATGAATTTGATGGCCGAGTTACGACTGCGCCGTTTATAAAGGATCGAGCTTTCGGAAAGGAATTAGGTAATAAAAATTATAATTATTCGTTCACTTTTCGATATATATACGTGCAGTATGTAATTCTTCTGTATCAAAAGCACCTGTCCGTTTCTTCAAGAATGGAAACAGTTACGCGATAACATCCCTAAGTGAAAAAAATCACATCACAAAAGTTACGAAATCATGTAATTAAAACAAGTAAATTACATAATGGATTATTCCAAATCATTACCTTATTTTTTAAAATCACGTAATTTGAAAAATCATAATATTAGAAATAATATCATCTGTTGTGTGATTTTATAGTTAGATAGAGTATTTATAGAATTTTAAAGAATCAAATAATAGGAATAAAAAGAAAAAACATATTATTGTGCGACTTTTCAAATTATACGTGATTAAAAAAAGAATCCCGTGCTGATTTTAAACAATCCGTTACGTAATTTCCCTGTTTTAATTACATGATTTCATTAAGTAATTTTGTGACGTGATTTTTTTCAGTAGGGATTAATTGAATTTCTTTTGTTATGGAATAATAAATAAGTTAGTAATTATATAAAATTGCACATACGCAGGTATATTTTTCATCGACGGAGTGAAATGGCAGGAACAGAGGAGATTCGCTCTTCGCTATATGCGCGACTTTGGATTCGGTCGACGCCAGGAGAAGCTCGAGAGCGAGATCATGGATGAAATGACTCTATTCCTGGACATTTTGAAGAACGGACCCGTTTACGATGGAGAGAAGGTACAATCGTTGTATGTGTAAAAATTTTTTAATAAAAAACTTAGAGAAAGATTTTATCTGTTATTAGGAAATACTAAAAGACAATTTGGTTCTCTTTCCTGACATTCTGTATGCGTCGTCGGGTAACAATATATGGAATATTATGTTCGGTCACAGATTTGATAGAAGAGAGCACGATATACTGCGACTCCTCTGTTATTCGGCTTATATGTTTGTAACAGCAAACGATACAACTGGTGGTGCTATTTTCCAGCGACCGATTTTGAGATACTTCGGTAACATGTTTGGTTACACAAATCATATGAAAGGAAGCACCACAGTATCAAATATAATCAAAGTATGTAAGCTATTTTTCAAACGATTATAATCGCAGGCTTGTTTAATTTGAATTAAAACACGGAGCTAAAATGCAAAACAATCGACGCAAATTAAAAATTAAAATAGATAAAATTTTAGGATGTCAAGTGTTGATAAGCATCTGAGTGATGTTTATCAACATTTTACAGCATGAAATCTTATTTATTTTTTTCAAAGTCAATGACTTTGTGTTTTAGCTCCGGAGCTCAAATTGGATAGGCCTGATAATCGAAATTCACGAATTTCAATTGACAAATGCGCATTTAAATTATTGTGAGTGATATCACTATGTGCTTAAATTATATCTATAAGTTCATAAAAATTTCAAGTTTAAACAATGTAGCGATTTATTTATTGGTCTGTTTGTTCGAAGTATCTCGGTTTAAAAAATACCATATTTCATTCTGTAGAAATATCTAGAGTATCAAAAAGTCACTATTAGTGAGAATGATGATCAAGGATTTGTCGATAAATATCTAAAGAAATTAAACAGAGACGATAAATCGAATAATTTCACAGAGGAACAATTAATCATTTTGTTAACTGATCTAATGATTCCCGCTTTTTCTGCAACACCATCCATGATTACTCATACTATTAAGTATATCATGCACCATCCTAGAGTTATGGAAAGAGTACAAAACGAAATAGATAATGTTGTTGGGACTGGAAGACTAGTCACATGGGAAGATAGAAAAAAGTAAGTTTTTTATTATTGTACACTTAAAAAAAAGAGCAATTTTTTTTCGATTTATTATTGAAATAATCAATAATTTATTGTACGTAGGTATATCGATAATAAGAACGTTAATATAAAATATTAGTGGATATACAAAGCCGCACAAATTAATGTTGTACAATTTATAAAATATGTTCATAAATTAATATAGTGTAGAAAAAGTAGTATAACTGCGCAAGAGATGATTTCTTGTGTAAAAATAAGTCGAAAATATTGAATAACATTTTTTTTTGTATCTATAAGTCACGATTTACTCATCTGACTACTTATCACTATTTCTATGTCAGTCTGAATTTTATACACTTCAAAATAATGCAATAACTTTTAATAGTGGATTAATTTTCTCAATTAAAGAGTTGGAAATATTATACACACATGTGTATCGCAGATAAATTCGTACTCGGCGAATGCAAAACGTAAACATAAACAGTAGTGAATATTTAGATTGGAAGAATCAAGATTTAATTAATATATTGTCTACTAAAATTAAAAATGAAGATAAAAGTTGATAAACATCATATTTCACGCATACTTCATATGACACTAAAAACCAGTTCAATGTATCTTATTTTATGATAACATGTTTTTTTACATTGGTTTAACAAATATTAGAATCTTTTTACGACCGTTCAATTGATAAACAATAACGAGAAGAAGGAAGTACGAAGCAAGCCAATAACGGTCAAAGCTGGATCACAATGCTTATTATAATTATGTGTAAATTTTATATCTGCGTATGTAGTCCCCCCATAAATCGCGACGCTATTTTTGCATTGACGCTTACATACTTACTACCGCAGTAATATTACGAATTTAATTTATTAACAATTATTAGATGCTCATAGCATCTTTTGGATCTTAATAGTGTTTTGAATGACATATTAAAATCTGAAGATGATAAATTAAAATTCCGTATTTAAAATTCTGTAATTTCTTATGTATTGCGAAGAATATTACATATAATTATTGACTTGCTTCGTGCTTCCTTCTTCTTGTTATTATTACATAAGTTTTTTTATGCAAAAAGTATTATCCTCAAATGTTAGCATGAATTCGAATTTACTTACATTGCGTTCAGCAATACAGAGATTCATACGTATATCTGTTTCACTTCAACTTATTGCACTGTGGCACAGTGCAGAGAAAAAGAACAGGCCTAGTGATTCGAGTAAAATATTTTTATTTTGTTTGAGTTTGCACTATTTAGAAGCGACAATACGAGAAACAATGAGAATCGAAACTCTCGCACCTCTCGGTATACCTCACAAGAGCGTGAAGAAAACTACGTTAGGAGACTACGAGATACCGGCGAACACAACGATTTTCACTAACTTTGCAGCGATGCATCATGATCCCGACTTGTGGGACGACCCTGAAATTTTCAGACCAGAAAGGTTTTTGAAAGAGGACGGGCAGTTAGTCAAAGATTTTACGCTCCCTTTTGGTTTTGGTAAGTCGATATACATATATATATACATGATTTCAATAAAGTTGAATAAATTCTGTTGAACTTTTTTACATAAAAAAAATTGTTTTTTGTAGGTCGTCGGTTATGCGCAGGAGAAACTTATGCCAGATACAACTTATTTGGGACATTGGCTCTTTTGCTACAGAACTTTAACTTGTTCTTTGTTGAGGGTGAGCCATCGAGTCTCGAGGACAAGTTGCCAGGTATACTCGTTTCTCCCAAAAAGCTGTGGATACGCTTGGAACCACGTTAAATATTATTTTCTTGATAATATATGATAAATATTTTCAAATAAATAGCAGAATGTCGATTAACAATTATTAATTATTATCAGTAGAGGCACAATTCACAATTTATCAAATATGTATAATGTGTGCTATGACTTGTTTTTAATTTGATAAAGGAATCCATTTTTTATCTAGTATAAAAACATACGTTCCATGACAAATGAGGTGTAATATACTTTAATTCAATTTTATCGTCTATTCTAACTACTGACAGAATAGAAGAAATAAAATTTGTAAAAGGTCGAAACGTACAATTTATAATAAATTAAATTAGCCATAAACTAAGAGAACACAATATTGTATATTGTACCCAAATGTTACAAGTTTATTTTATATCTGAAATAAAAATAATTACAACGTTTCACACTAAAAATTACAATGGAATTTCTTTCGTTTGAGTTTTACATACAATATCCTACCGCTCTTATCAAGTCAAAGCGGAGAAAAATAAACAACAGTTTATACAACATACATAAATGCTACATGTGTGCCATAAAGATTATTCTGTCACAAACAGTGACCGTAAGTGACATTACTTTTATAAATTATTACCTGAGAAGCAAAAATGAGAACGTTCCTTAAAAAAACGTCTAGTTCTTTTTAACTTTACTCGTGTCTTTTAGACACCGCAATACTTAAGGCCACTTGGACCAACTTTCGATTAACTTTATCATGGACAATTAGTTCATTAGAATTATGCGATTCATTAGAATGCGATTGGTCAATTCCAACAGAATAATCGTCGATTAAAATTAATCCAAGTGGTCCTTACAGCTGAACATAATGCCTTTCGTAATTGTCATTTTAATCAAGTATCTCAATATCGCATCTTGATGTAAAAATTAAGATAAGATATTCAATACAAATTTACACGCCACAATTCTAACAAAATATATAATTTCAGATTATCAATTCAAAATATGCGAATATATTTATTATTTATATACAAGGAAATGCACTTCGAACGTTTTCTTATTCTTTATCAACATAAATAGTACAAAATCAGCACCTGTATGCACTAAATTATTCTGTTGTGCATAGTTTGGTGTGTTATTTTTTGTAAATTGTGCATTCCCTCAGAAACGGTCAGATTATCGCAACATAATGTGTTAATCTTATCAAGCAGTTTTATTCTCTGTGTATTAAAACGTACAGTCCAAGACACAATAATATTCCATACTTAAATTTAGGATATTCATTCATGTATATAGTGACCATGCCGACATATGGTAGGAAGCCTCTTGCTCGACCAACCACATCCTCGTGTGTCAACCAGAGTTGACCAGGTGCATACAGGCCTCGATCATCGACAGAATTGTTGTCACCTTTTGTGAGAAACTTGACCGTATTATTTCGGCCACCCCTAGAATTGTTATGCATACATTTTAAATTGATTCTTTGTCAAGTTTTATGTTTTGTTTGTTTTATAAGAATTCTTACTTCTCATGAAGTTTAAGTACTCTGTGTACAATAGGTATCTCTCTGCCTTCGATTTTGAAAACAACAATCTCTCCTACTCTCACTGGCTCGTCTCGATAATTGGTAAGGAAGAGCAAATCACCTCTATGAAACGCAGGCTCCATACTACCACTGTAAAAGAAATATATTGAATAATTCAGTAAACTGAAACCAATGTTATACATCATTACCAGTCTGTTAGTAAATATTGATCAATATTTTCCTTGTTATATGCTAACTGAATTACCAATAGCATATGTATAATATTGCAATGCAAACCACTACAATTGAGTCTCTAATATCTTACTACAATTAAATATACTTTGTACATACATATAATATGTATATAGTATGCAAATAACAAGAAATATTTTTTTTACAGCAACAAAATTTAGTATATATCGTCATCCATGAAAACATTTGGTCAATTTCAACTTGACAATTTAGTAATAACAGACAATTAAATTCATCAAAAACGCAATATAGGTATATAAGTTAGGTGTACTTTATACCTCAAGACAACTACAATAGGACTTTCGCTGCCAGTAATGACCATCATGCCCTTCCATATCATCAGCGCTGACGTGACTATCATGCCAAAGCTCAGCGTTTGATACACGATCTGAAAATCAAAGAATACATTTACATAGCCACCATATACGACCACCATACCATAATTGATGGTAACGACGGTACCATCGCGTCGTCATAAATAGAGTATATATAGGCTACGTTTCACTCAACGCTCGCAACGCTCACGAGCATCGTTTTCTTCTTATTTGACATTTGATAAATAACAAGGATAAAATAATTTCACGATTTTCACGAGCATTGTGGGCATTAAGTGGAACGCATCCATAGCTAAATTAATGTTGGAAGTTCTTCTTTTCAAGAGAATGGCCTCAACTCCTGTAACAAAGTTGATTCGGCTAGTATCGAGATAGCCGCACTTGGCAGCAAGTAACGAAAGTCTTAAGACAGTCTACATAAGTCGAAATATGATCAATGTTGAAAGTTCTTTTTCTTCCAAGTGGTCCTCCGCAAAAATGTTGAGAGTTGGCTACTATTAACACATATGACACACGATTGTCATCTATACCTAATTAACAGTATTCATACAACAATATGTTTGAATATTGCATTTGTTTTGGTTATTGCATATGGCGGATTACGGCAATCAATTAAAAATCATTACCTCGGTGGTGTAACTCTTATTGTTATAGTAACTCTAGTCGTGAAGGATGATTTACCTGACGCGCGTTCATACGCCGCACATCGTCGAATAAGTCGTACAACATGATGAAAGTTGAACGTGCGGTATAGCCTACAGTAATCAGAACGCAGAACCGGCGCTACTCCAGACTATTCATATATCCACTGCCACCACGAGGCCACCACCACGACACTATTGTGAACGTATACAAGGTATGGTATACGCCATACGGTATACGTCGTAATGTCGGATGTTACACTCGCACCGCTTGACGCTCGCACGATTCAGCTGGAGTGCTGCACGGTCTGCACGCCGGCGTGCACCACGTCACATCACGTAAACAGAGAAACAGGGAAATTGGAGAGGAACGAGAGGAACGATGAATCGATAGTTAGTTGCTGTTATTTAGGTCTGTTCTTTTAATTTTTCAACTAAACTTTTTTCACAATTTATTTTTTCTTCCTTTCTCTTCAACGTGAAGGAGAAAAGAGATAAGATGGACGATACCAAGAAATTGAGCTAAAAAGCACATCATTTGGCATCTTCTACTTTTAATGTTAATTAGACAGAAATTAAAACAAAAGACGGAACAACACTGTAATAGGAGATAGTTAACTTTAAATATCGCATTCAATTTACATATATTCAGCTCATCTATAGCAAGATACCACTGCAATGATAATAACAGTAATTATAATAAACAGTGATAACGTGCTTCCTAAAAATGCACATACATAGCGATATAATAAGCTAGGTCAGTTATTTTTTGTAATTCATCAATCGTACTATGCACCAAATACAGCTTCTAATAATTTTAGCCTACACAAATTTGCATATACTTATTAGCTGCTGCAATCATATATACATAAATTTAAAAATTAAAATTATCCCATCGCATTTTACAACATGCTATTTTATTCTTATGATAGAAATTTTAAAGATACACTCGCGGATATCTGGAAGATATTCGATATCCAGTCGGATAATTGCTCTACCGAGTATCCGCTGTATCTCATATTCTTTTCGGATATCCGATATATCTGGTAATTTTACGATTTAATGCATATACGTTCCGCTTATATATATAGATATATATAATGGAAATGTAATTTAATAATTTTTAATTCTTTATTTACCTTTATTATATGTGTATATAATGGTGTAATAATGGGTGGACAAACGTGGACAAACAGTGGACAAACGAAAGCAACAATAATTTTATCAAAATTCGCATTTAGGTGTGCCGACATCTCAGAGCTGCTCTGTAAAGTCGACACCCCTAAAAGCGAATTTTGATAAAATCATTATTGCATTCGTTTGTCCACCGTTTGTCCAAGTATGTCCACCCATTATTTTCGTTTATACTCTTTATTTTTATTATTTTTTTCATAATGAAGAAGAATAATTACTTGGGGTTGTTACAATTTTTTTGTAGTACCCTCTATTTTTAATATATTTTTCATAATAAAGAAGAATAATTACTTGGGGTTGTTACAATTTTCTTGTGTATAACTTTTTTTTGGAGGGTGGACAAATGAAAATAATGGGTGGACAAACGTGGACAAACAGTGGACAAACGAAAGCAACAATAATTTTATCAAAATTCGCATTTAGGTGTGCCGACGTCTCAGAGCTGCTTTGTAAAGTCGACACCCCTAAAAGCGAATTTTGATAAAATCATTATTGCATTCGTTTGTCCACCGTTTGTCCAAGTATGTCCACCCATTATTTTCGTTTATACTCTTTATTTTTATTATTTTTTTCATAATGAAGAAGAATAATTACTTGGGGTTGTTACAATTTTTTTGTGTATAACTTTTTTTTGGAGGGTGGACAAATAAAAATAATGGATGGACAAACGTAGACAAACATTGGACAAACGAAAGCAACAATAATTTTATCAAGATTCGCATTTAGGTGTGCCGGCATCTCAGAGCTGCTCTGTGAAGTCGACATCCCTAGATGCGAATTTTGATAAAATCATTATTGCATTCGTTTGTCCACCGTTTGTCCACGTATGTCCACCCATTATTTTCGTTTATACTCTCTATTTTTATTATTTTTTTCATAATGAAGAAGAATAATTACTTGGGGTTGTTACAATTTTTTTGTGTATAACTTTTTTTTGGAAGGTGGACAAATGAAAATAATGGGTGGACAAACAGTGGACAAACGAATGCAACAATTTTTTTTATCAAAATTCGCATTTAGGGGTGCGTAGAGTCCTAGATATCAGAGAAGCGCAACCGGCTTAAGTCAGTATCGCAAAATTACTAAGAAAGTATTAAATATTGCGTCGTTTGCAGACGAAATATGAAATCCACCTATCGTCTATTAGTCAGCCATTTTTAATACCACTGAATGAATGTCATGATTGGCTGACAGTCAGCTAATCAGGACTCGGAACATCGGTTGCGCTTCTCTGATATATAGGACTCTTCCTTATAGTTGCTTCACCGCGTTCCGTATACCGCGTACCGCGGCTTGCCGCCGCGGTTCCTGGTTACTTTACCGCCTACCGCGTACCGCGCTGCATGTAATCGCACCCTTAAGAATAGTGGATCTTGCATGTAGTTTACATCCACTTCTTCAGAGGGCAGTAGTGCGTGGCAGCATTTTGCGGTTACAAGTTTTAGACCGTCATGTTCTCTCTCAGGTTTCTCTCTGGTCGCGCTCACTCATGAGGCCTGAGGCCGTATTCTGTAACTCGTTAAGCAGTTAACGACATCGTTGCGCAGCTTTTTATACCATAAGATATCTGCGCAACGATGTCGTTAACTGCCTTAACGAGTTACAGAATACAGGGGCTGAGGCCGTATTCTGTAACTCGTTAAGCAGTTAACGACATCGTTGCGCAGCTTTTTATACCATAAGATATCTGCG